ACTACTGAAGCTAAATTTAGGAGTTGGAACTCTATCAAACAGGCTCTTAGAGTATATAGATGAGTAATCTTTGATAAAGAAAGTGGTACTTGCTATACATGCATACTCCCTTCATCCCAAAATAATTTTATTTCTATCCTCTTACCTCCACTCGATTAGTAAGTCGATAAGCTTTATTGTTTCAATACCTTTTAACTATATTTTAAAGATAATGGGATAAAATCCGGCCTTTGCTAAAAAAGCTACGGCCAATTATTACACATATTCGTCTCTAAGAGATTTAACAAACCATAAACTCAAACAAATAAGCACCAACACAAGATAAAGAAACCCCACAATTATTGTATCCTACTCGCACATTAATATTACTTTCCCATTAACATGTTATAATTTAGTTTTTTTCTCTCTAATTTGTTTTGCACACACAAGTTCTAAAGATAAAGTTATTTTAGGTCTGTTGTTTTTGTTCATGTTGATTGTCTGTCCTGTGATATGCGTTTTGATTCACAGAGGGGCTCAGTCATAATATTGGACCCAATGCAAATGGACATTGCCGCTGATCTTTTATGTTGAACGGTTGAATGGTTTAATAGCTGATGTCATGGTTATGGAGGGGGTACAAATGATTAAATTACTATTATAAAATAGAAAAAATGATTTAAAAAATTCTCTGAGAAATTCATATATAGAAAAAAAATTAAAAGTTATAAAGACGTGAAAGCGTGAACATTTGTCCATTCATCCGTTAAGGAGCAATATACCGAATTACATAGAATTATTTCAACTCCTAGCTACTCCGATTATCTGACATATATAGGCATGTCCTTTTGTCTTAATTAATGGAATGGAATATAAGAATACATACACTTGTTAGGCTCCTAAACGGTATAAATTTTGCAAAATCTCTCTACAAACAATTTTTTGAAACACAATTTAAAATCTACTTAAATTTATGATAGTTATAATTAATTTTATTAGTCCGTATTCTCGAAACATTTGTCTATTTAGCTAAGTAGTATTCAGCAGTCCGTTCTATTCCATTTAGGCCAAAATAACACCCAGGCAGGAGGGCATGCACACCTAATTAATTAATCAGATAATATAGTAGCTAGCCAGGGAGTAGTTTGATTAATTAATCTCCTGTCACATCTTGCTACGCTGATGGTTAACCAAATTGCTAAATCCCCTATAAATATATATAATTTTATACTACGAATCTGCCCATTTACACTCAATAAATTATATGGGCGACGATCATATCCATTAATAATCAAGTAGAAAAGCAGATCGCAAATAAAGGCGACCTAAATGCTAAACGTGACAAATTGTCGCAAGTATCTTTCACGTACAGTTTTTTTTAAATGTCTCATTATTTTCTAATATGCCCTTGTTAATTAATTCCTTGGTATTATATATTTTTTTGATGAGGAAATTCCTTGGTATTATTGCACTCAAGAAATCAGATACTCAAAATTAACAAGAGAAGCAAAGCTTATAACTTATAAGTTACATATTTATAACGGCGGTAAAAAAAATATTAATCGTGCCGACAGATAATTACTCGCGGTTAAAAAGAAATCAGAAATTAAAGCGGAGGTACTTTGCCACGTCCGCAAGTAAAGCAAAAGGCAAGCAAGCAGCTGATCAGAACTTCATGGATGCTCATGAGAATCAGATCGATAAATAGAATAAAAAAGAGAGAGAAAAGAGACAAAAGAAAATTAAAAAGAAAAGCGTAGGCTATCAGTGATCAGTCAGAAGGTGCCATGACCAAATTTTGTCACTTCCTCCTTTCCAGCTCCCACGCTCTTCCTCCATACGAATTCATTACCGCCACTGAATTAATCAATCAATTAAGTAGTAGTATTTACATAATGGAGTATTTGTGTAATATACTTCCTTCGTCCCCTAATATAAAGTATTTTGACATTTTACTTGTACTATTTGACCATTCGTCTTATTAAAAAAAAATTAGAATTATTATTTTTTACTTGCTTTACTATCCAAAGCTTTAAGCACAACTTTTCGTTTTTTATATTTGCACAACTTTTTGAATAAAAAGAGTGATCAAACAGTACAAGCAAAATATTAAAATCCCTTATATTAAGAGACGGAGGGAGTAATCTAGAGGAGAACTTATGTAATATTACCATCATTTTTTAGAAAAACTTTGGCAATACACATTCGGTTAGACATAGATGTTATGTTTTTTTAAAAAAAGATATTTTTAATTTAGACTATTCGTTATTTCTAAATTTTTTTATAAAAATAGACAAACATAATGTGCTTTTAAAAGTACTCTTTTTCTATAACATATTTAGGGTGCGTTCGGCACTGCCTTTTTTTATCTTCTTCTATTTCTCGTTTTATACGTGCATATTTTTCAAATGGTTAAAAAGTGTATTTTGTTAAAATAATTATAGAAAAATTGCTTGAAAAATTATATTAATCTATTTTTTAAGTTTTGTTAGTCAATACTTAATTAATTATACACCACACCAATGAGTTACCTCGTATTTCATAGGTGGAGAAGTTCCCAACTCTTCTCGTGGAGACGTGGACACAGCCTTGGGGATACTCTTTTCAGTTTAAGTAGTTGAATAAATAAACGTTGGTAAAAATTCGAGGAAATAAAAATCAAATGTGACATATATTAAGAAACAGTGGTAATAAAATATTTTATCTAATGATTTGAGTGGATCTGCCGTTACATGGTGCGGCGCCCAACGTGTAGATCACAATGCAAGTAGATTTAGTGGGTTTTATTTGGTCAAATTTGGTTTATCTGCCTCACTCTAGCATGCATGCATACGAGTGATGATTCCTCTAAAATACGTACTTTACATGATTACCGCGAATTGAGAGCTACGTGTTAACCACAAGGACCAAGAGATCGATCGACCAATTAGCTTAGCTTGGCTAGCAGATACTCTCGTGCGCCATAACATTAGTCCATTAATTAGAAAGTTAATGATCCTATTAGGGTAAATTTGGAAAATACCACTGCAAAGATACGTGAGTTGCAAAATACCATCGTACGTGAGAATGACATGTGGGGCCTGGACCCACATGTCAATGACACATACGATGGTATTTTTCAACTCCGTGATTTTTGTAATGGTACTAGCCAAATTGGCCCATTGTATTATGGATCACACTTTGTTAATTAACACACATTCCCCATATGCATGTGTATGTATGCATGTATGCATCGATCGATGTGGGGCCCGAGGACAGGGACAGCACGGCTACCGGGCCCACCCGCAGCTTCGATTCTCCCTCTGTCCTCAAAGGCATGATGCGATGTGCCATCGGTTCATATCTCTCTTTTTTGGTCACTAATAACCCTCCTCCTAATCACCTTGTCACCGACATCGATCACCTTGATCGATGAGAAATAAGCACCCCTGCAACTAATCAATTTATATTTTTGATGACTCAACTAATCAAATTGAAACTTACACGCCACAAAAATATAATCAATTGGAGCTTGAAAGTAGAATGCACGATTTGGGAAATATTCTGCAACTTCAATTCATTGATCATGAATTGTGAGAACTTGTTGCGACCTGCAAATTTTGTTGTATGGGGGAAATAAGATGATCTGGTTGAACTTTGGCATTAATTTGATGTTCGCATGCGTACCTGTATGGGATAAATTTGACAGATGTAATTATAGTACAATCGTAGTGTAATTACACTGTAACTTATATGTAATTGCACTGTAACTTGCATGTAACTACAGTGTAACTTGTATATAAGTTTCACGTAATTTGAAGAAAAAAAATCACAGCACACACATATGTGTAAGGATTTGTTCCCACAACCTTAATAACATATTACAGAGAGATTTTTAAAAGTTACATACAAGTTACACTATAGTTACAGTGTAATTACATGCAAGTTTCAGTGTAATTACACTACGATTATACTGTAATTACATCTGTCAAATTTTTGGGAGAAAATTTATCGACAAATATATAGCAAAATCGTACCTGCATTGCTTTTTGTTTAGACTCTATTGGATTTTCGCATGGGCGTATATACCTGTTCTGTAATTTATCATAAAATTCTTTACTAGTTACCAACTTACTATTGACAAGCGATTGATTTCTACTATAGGAATTATCATCAATAAACATGAGTTATACCGAATAGTATTGCTGTATTGCACGTTGAACAGACAATCTTTCCTTCGCCTCAAGTGCACTTAGCTTCACACTGTACACGTCATAAAAGCCCTGAGCTTAGGCAGTTCTTCAGACATTTAAGAAGTAAAACAGACATAATTTTATATGGTTTAGCGAAATGCAATTGATGAAGGCTAACAGCTATAGCTAAAAAAAACACATGTTGGCGGGTACAGTACTCCTCGGTTTTTAATATTTAACGTAGTTAATTTTTTAAGCACGTGTTTAATCATTTATCTTATTTAAAATGTATATGTAAATATGGAAAATATAAGTCATATACTTATAACGATAAAACAAACAAAAAATGATAATTATGTATTGTTTTAACAAGATAAATGATTAAACGCGTGTTAAAAATGAACTGCATCGGACATTTAAAAATTAGATAGGGTATTTCGTAAAACTTATGTTTATCGAAAAAACATTGTATTATACTAAATCTGCACTATATATCGTGCGATGGAGGAAATATAATAAATTGTCGTGTTGCAAGTCAATGCATTGAATCACATATCAATACAGTATACTAGTACTCCACTCTGTATTACCTTGATGATGATGATGAAGAACGTTACTCTAATTAGTAAAACTACCGTCCACGTCACCACCCAACCCCAACGTACCCAGCGCCCAAAGTCAGACTCAGACAGCCCAGACCAGACATGGCGCCGCGCGCATGCAGAACCGTGACTCTCTGCCCACCTGGCCCCACCTGTCATCTCCCCCACACCGACGCTCCCCCCCTCTCCCGCTCCCGCTCCGTTAAACTCTCCTGGCCCCACCTGTCAGGCGGACTTATATTAGTACTACTAGTACCAGTCCTCTCCTCCTGACAGCTAAGCACCAAACCATCACTTCACTCCCCTGAGCTCACCTTGATCACCCTCCTCGCCATCGCCATGGCCGACAAGCCTCCGCCGCCGCCAACCAAGCCCAAGCCCAAGCCGGCTACGGCTGCTCAACCCGCGCCGGCGCCGGCGACGGCGAGGACGACGCCGCCGCTCAAGAAGCCACCGCCGCTGGCCCCGCCCACGCAGGCGCGCCCGCTCAAGCCGCCGCCGGCGCACCAGTACAGGCAGCAGCAGCAGCAGCAGCCGGCTAATCGGAAGCGGCAGTACGGGAGGCACCGCGGCGGAGGCGGCGGGTGCTCGGGGCGGCGGGTGTGCTGCCTCGCCACGGGGTTCGTCCTCCTCGCGCTCTGCCTCGCGCTCGCCGCCGCGTGCCTGGCCTACCTCTACTACCACCCGCGCCCGCCGTCGTTCCACCTTCAGCCGCTCGCCGCCACGCGGTTCCGCGTCGGGAACTCCTCGGCGGTGTCCGCCATGGACGTCACCGCCGCCGTCAGGGTGGTGTCGTGGAACCCCAACGACCGGGTGTCGTTCGAGTACGGCGACGGGGAGGGCCGCGTGGCGCTCGCCGACGCCGACGGCGACGTCGCGCTGGGCTGGGCGCCCGTGGCCGGGTTCCGCCACGCGCCGCGGAGCGTGGCGACGGTGGCGTTCGTGGCGGCGGCGAAGGGGGTGGTGGTCGACGAGGCCGTGGCGGCGCGCGTCCGCGACCGGTACCGGCGGCGGCAGCTGGCGTTCAAGGTGGTGGTGGACACGCACGTCGGCGCGCGCGCCGGCGCGGTGCGCACCGGCATGGTGCCCGTGAGGCTGCTGTGCGACGGCGGCGCCATGGCGCCGCGCGGCGGCGTGTCCGGGAGCGTGGTGGGGCCCATGAGCAAGTGCCAGGTCTACCTCTTCAGAGTCAGATGGTCAGTGACTTCACTCTTCAACTCTCCGTCTCTCCCTTGTGTTTGTTTCTCTACCTGCATTGTTGCTTCATCGCTCATCCAAGTTTTTATTACAACTTGTATTCTCACGTATCAACCGACAACCATAACAATATACATGAATACGTCCACAGGTACAATTTTTTTTTTCAAAAACGCATGAACATAGAAAAGCATGAGAATTATAAGAATTAAGTAGCGTACCAAGGCTTGGTTTAGTTCCCAACTTTTTCTTCAGCTTCCAACTTTTCCATCACATTCAAACTTTCCTACACACGTAAGTTTCTAACTTTTTTCTTTAAACTTCTAATTTTGGCGTGAAACTAAACACAGCCCAACTTGAATCGTAGGCAATTCCAAAACGCACAAATCTTTCGAGTTGTTATGAAGCCTCAAAGAAAAATATTAACTGCAAGATTTGGGAGTGACAAAGTTAATTTCAAGCAGTTGAACGTCGTGTTAGAAATCGTCCAAAATTCTGATGGTGTTTAGGTAATTCAATGGGATTCCTATTAGTTCATTTCTTTGTTCGAAATGACCACATGAGAAAATTTCCCATATACTAATTCGTATCCTATGAAATTCTTTAAAAATCCTAAATTCCAAATAAACCTCTGAATTCTTCTCACTACCCTCAGTTACTGTGATTTTCCTGTCATTTACTCATTTACATTAACATTGGTTGTCTCTCTCAATTTACAGAACCAATTTTGCTTTGCCCCATTTTCTCATCTCTCCCTTGCCACATCATCAATATCACCAACTCTTGTTGTCTGATGAAAGCTACTTCTTCTGCATAACACCCATGAACTAAATCCTGCATACCTCTGCTCATTAAAACCGCTGCCATTGTTGCTACACACATGAATGTACAAAACAACAACATCCCCAAATTCAATTTTGGCATCGCAAATCTGTCTTGGTCCCATCTGATCTGACACACCCAGCCCAAGAACCATCCACACAAACCCAAGAGACTACTCCTACCAAAGATCACAAGGAAAGATTCCAAGAGGTCAATATGAGAATTAGAATTAGGACACAAGGGCATATGTTGGCAGTACGGCCATGAGATGTCATTGTCCTGTATATATATGAGAGAGAGAGAGAAATGGGGGGCCCTCAGTAATTAAGGTAGCAAAGACTACACATTTTGTGCCGCACAAGATGCCGCAGGAGGTCACTGGCTGCTACAGTGGGATCAGGTAGATCCGTGGATTATACAACGGTGACGCCGCATCTGCTGCCTGATTATCAGTGAGTGGCCGGGACGCCTGTGTCTCCGGCCAAAAGCGTCCCCCCCCCCCCCCCCCCGGATTCTCTCTGTCCCTATGCTTACCTCGCACGCATCCAAGCGCAGTCCATGACCGCGAAAAAAAAGAAAAGAATCATCCAAATAGTCGTGAAAAATTCTGAAAATGATCTCGATTGCGTGTTTGTTCTCCGTGGAGTAAGGAATTTCACTCGTAAGACGAGTGTTGTTTTCGGTAATATTCAAATAGTTATGAAAAAAAAAATCAGAGAGGATAACATATTACCATATAAGCTTAGTTTTTGTGTAGTAAGAAATTTTGCTCCTAAGTAAGTCGAGTTGCGCAATTCGGATTCGGGTACTAAACTGGGGAGGAGGGGGGGGGGGTGGAGCTCAGGTGTTGAGCTGTACATCGACGGATGTTAGCGTGTCACTGTTGCTCCAACTTGCTGTCCTCCAGGGTGGTGTGCCAGAATTTTGACAAATCACAAGTGGAGATCCCACTTGGGTTGTGTCATGGTAGCTACCATGTAATACTACAAGAGGACACCAGATTTTGCCAAATGACACAAGCTTTGGTGGAGGAGTGGGGGTAGCATATATATTCAGGCATTTAGGGACATTGGATCCTAGATGAGAGGAACATGCATGATTGGTACTACTACTGGCTAGCAAAGGACCAGTGTCTAATTAAGGCTAGTACCTACCTAGAGTGGCTTAGAAGCTGTGTGATCAGGGACACTTAGTGACAGGACAAGGTTGTTGGTTTCAGCAAAATGTTCTGAAGGAGATCAGGAAATTCCAGTGAAAAAGGTTTTACTTTGAGGCAATTTTAGCTGCAATAATGCAGGTTTCTTATCAGGCTTCCATAGGCAAAGGTTCAAAAGTATGTATCAATTTCTTTTTTCTTCTGACACTATAATTTGATCCAAACTGTTGATGGCTTGCTTAGGGAAGTGGTATGGCATACCAGCTAAATGTTGAAAATACATGAAAACCAGGGTGTAGAAGTGAAGGAGACTTCTGTTCAACACAGTACCAAACAAATATCTGAATTTGCATTCCAAGCATGCATAATTCATTATCTGAAAAAATAGAGTAAATTCCTTGTGTGTGCCCCTGAAAAGTTATTCAATCCCTTACATGCCCCTGAAACTTACTCGATTCCTTCTATACCCTTGAATTTTTGATTGGATCCCCTACATACCCCTACCGTTAGATTGAGCAGCATTCCCTGGTTAGTTTGGTTGAAAATGTCTATAATACCCTTGAGGTTGGAGGAGCTGAAAACTAAGAACATGTTTGGCAGCTGGGTTTGAAACATTCATGATTGCACAGTATGTATTCCATGAGGCTAAAAAATTAGTGCATAAAATTAATTTCATTTTCTTTTGTTATAGCATTCAGTATTTTATAAAAAAATATAACATGATATTGGATCTTTCATGACCACTAACCGACACAGCCTGGGGGTAAAAGACAGTACCCCTAGCCGTTTACTCAAACACCATTGCAATTCATCAGCATATCAAGAGGATCGGTAGCACCATTTAATAGGAAGAAAATGAAAATACATCTAAAAGCATTCATACACCATCAGCAGTACACAAATATATTACTTTTTACATCATGAGCATAATGGCACAAGCCCATAACAGTTCAAGGCATCCGCCTGCATAAAGTCAAACAAATCAATCAAGAAACACTAGCAGCAGCAGCTATTCGCATTTTGCTAATCAACGCAAGGGCGTATCATTACCGACGGCGAGGAGCAGCGGAGCAAGGAGGTAATAGGCCGGCGTCGGAGCCCCCGAGAAGAGGGTGAGGTGACAAGAGGGAGGGCGCGGAGGAGGCAGGGAGGAGATGGCGTCGCCATGACCGCAAGCAGAGTCGAGGCCGCGGCGGGATGCGGACTCGTCGCCGCGGCGGGATGCAAAGCCGCCGCCGCCCACCAGATGCGGACCCCGCCGCGCCACTGATGGGATGCGGACCTAGCCGCCGCCGCTGACCGCAAGCAGAGCCGAGACCGCGGCGGGATGCAGAGCCGTTGCCGCCGCCGGGATGTGGGAGAAGGGCGGCGATGCGCGTGCAACGATGGCTGAAAGCTGGCGATGTGCGGCACCGTGCGTGTGGGAACTATACTATTTTGGAGGATTTGGGGATCGGATGTGGCCCTGTGTTACCTAGGGTTGACAGGGGCATTTTCGCATTTTATGAAAATACTGACAAGCTAACACACACATGAACACAAACATCTGACGGAACCCAAACGGTAGGGGTATGTAGGGGATCCAATCGAAAATTCGGGGGTATAGAAGGAATTGAGTAAGTTCCAGGGGCATGTAAGGGATTGGGTAACTTTTCAGGGGCACACAAGGAATTTACTCGAAAAAGAAAAAATAGGGCATATTGCATAATTTCATTTTCTTTTTTGTACATTGTGTCTTGATTGTATGAAATGAGAAATATATCTTGCTCATCTTGTATCCATGGCAATATGGCATTTCAAACAGATTAAACCATGTGAAAATTGGGCTATGCAATTGCTTCAAGTAATTGAACTGGACTTTCTACGATAAAATCATTTTCAGGTTTAGCTTGAACTGAAGGGAAATCCAGGACAGGAGTTGCCAGTTTCTAGCTTCTTACAATCAGGCTAATGTCAGTGGTGTCGAAGCTGCTGCTGCTGCCGTAACTTATTTGCATTTCCTGCCGCGACGGGAAGGTGATGATTTGGTTTTGCTTGGTGGCGACCGTGATAAGACTGTCACTATATATAATCTGAATGATCTCTGAAGAACCTGAACCTTGATGGTATTTTTCGAAGCATGTAAGAAAGAGAAGAAAGCGAACAAGTTTGTAACTGTATATGCATGACTCCTAGCTCCCCAAATTCTTTTGATTGTGTGGTATATATACATACATAGCAGGAATGGAATTGTTTTCTTTTGTGTGTTCATAGCTCTCCAAAACCCTGTTCCTTTTTTCTTTTAGAAACAACCCTGTTCTTTATTTTAAGTGGCCGTGTGGTACATGTTTTACTACTAGTTGTTTTGATCCAACTAGAATGGTTTCGACGAGGAGTATAGAGAGAGAGAGTAATTTCATATGTTACTTAGTTAAGATATAACATTGGAGATAGCTTTACCATTGTATGATTAGATGAAATCTGCATTAACAAGTCATTTAACCACTCTCCATAAGTTGTAGCAAGGCAACAGATACACGAGGGGAGGCCATTTCAATATACAGGTTTAATGGGCTTGGACCTTACTGTTTTATTTCCTGAAGGAAATAATTTCACTTTAGGTCCCTCATCTTGACGTCGAGTTTAAAATTCACCTCTGAACTGCAATACCAGGCATACCCCAACTTACAAAACCGGTATCCCCTGAAAAACAAGACGCGGGACTTAAAATGAACTTATTCCTTTCCTGAAATGATGATCAAGTCCATTGAACTTATGGCCTTTTGGCCCATTACCAAGAGAGGTAATCCCAAAACCCAAACGGTTTAGCCCACGGTGGTGAGTGAGAAGAGATTTTCTTTGATAATGGAATAGAATATTCCGGCCTTTGCTCAACGAACTACAACCAATTATTATAGAGTAGCACACAAAATAAAAAGCTTCTCACACAAAAAAGAAGACACCTACCAACGCAAGATAAGGAGTACACAATTATTAAATTCTGTTTGTGAATCTCCATCAAAAATTGGTAAACAGTTGCATAACCGTTGCCTCAAGATTACGACATGCAACTTTTAAACGCTCGCCCTCTTCATCACACTTTTGTAGCAGTGCCCAAGACCTGAGCCAATGTATTGCCCTGAAAATTACTTTGCCCTATGGTGACGAAATTAAACAAAATTGTACTATGCATACAAAACAGTGAGGAAGAAAATTGCTGGATGAAGTGTCCTATTTTTTTTCCAAGCGAAGTGTTATAACCTTGTCCTATTTTTTTCCAAGCGAAGTGTTATAACCTTGTATGAAAAAGTGAACCCAAATCTTTCAGTTAGCAAATGGGCTTGTTTGGCAGTGCTGCTTTGCAGCTAGCTGCAACAGTAGCTGGGTTGTACCTACAGTAAAACTGGAGAAAATTTTCCATGTTTGCTGCAGCTGCAAAGCAGCCACAACAATCTCTGCTGAAAACCCCAATGATACGACTCAGAGAAGCAGGTCGATAAGTAGAATTTACTTGACGAAGAATTCCTCTGAGCTGGGTATCTTTTATCTCTTGAATTTGTAATTGGGTGGCTCATGAAATGGTAGTATTAGGGAACAAATATGCAATTGATGGCGATTTTGTAATGCATGGTGAGCCTGCTTGTCTTCATGAATTGGTAGCCAACGATTTATCAAATAAAAAGGGAAAAAGATAAGTCTGAATTACCTTCTGAAATATCGAGGTTATCTGAGGAATCCATAAATTACAGCACCAGATATTTCACTGTCCATAGCTTTTCATACCAGAATATCTTAAATGTATTATACTACATTCGTCCCAAAATAAGTTTATTTTTCACCAATCACACATTCTAATACAAAAGCAAAAGGACAAACTAAAATACTCATACTTTATGAAACCCTAATGAAACTATTCATTAGAGCAGGTACAATAGCAGGCTATTAGCTAGCCATAAACATATTTTAATGATATAAACGATGAGAGAGAAGAGCAGCGGGCTACAGATCTGTAGCCAGCTGCAGCACGGACTCCAAGACACACTGTGTATATGACAGGTGGGACCATATACTAATAGTATAGTAAGCAACTATTGTATGAATTGGCTATTAGATTGGCTATAGATGAATTGGAGCTGGTAGTGGGCTGTACTATTAGACTTGCTCTTACTTTATCTACTTCTAATACAATTATGATGTAATGATTACTTTAAAAATAAACTTATTTTCGGACAAATGAAGATAGCTAAAAATAAACTTAATGTGAAACGGATGAAGTATATAAGTATTATAGTTGTAGGGTATCTCAAACTACCTAAATAGTTGAGGAGTAATTTAGATTTTTCTTTTAAAAAAAGAGTGAAGCCAAATCCTAAGTGTGAATGCTATAACAGAACAAAAGTCTGAATAAGTTATCAAGTACTCAAGATTCCGAAATTCCATAAACAGTCGATGTGCACGGTTTATATATTATTATATCTCTCATTTTGCAAATTTAAGTTGTAAGTCCGTATTTCGAGCTACAGTCCCAGAATTAGGGCCCCTTTTTTTTTTGAAACACAGTACAAACGCAGGCGCTCACAACGTGCGCACACTCACCCCTATGAACGCACACACGCACACTCTACCCCTATGAGCACCTCCGGAAGACTGGGCCGGCATATCTTGAGATTGACGAAGTCACCACAGGCGCCTCGCTGTCGACGGGTACGTCGCCTACCACTGAAAGAATAATTAGCCGTAAATGCGAGCACCCGTGTCAAATCTAGGATTTAAACCCGGGTGGGCTGGTTCCACCACAAGGAACCTAACCAGTTGAGCTATGCTCACTTCACAGAATTAGGCCCCTTTGATTCAAAGGAAATTCATAAGAATTTTAAAGGATTTAATTCCTATAGGAATTTTTTCTATATAGCCCTTTGAATCAAAGGAATGAATCCTATGGAATCCTATAAAATTCCTATGGAATGCCTCTTCCCATGCAAATTTTGAAGGAAATTTAACATGAGGTTCTACCTCATGTAACCTCATGTTAAGAATCCTTTGAGTCTTTCTCTCTTCTTAAATTCCTATGTTTTTCCTGCGGCTCAATCAAACGGTCATTCCTATGTTTTTTCTGTGTTTTGCAATCCTCTGTTTTACACTTGTATTTCTATCAGAGTCCTATGTTTTTCCTATTTCTCCGTTTTTTTATTCTTATGATTCAAAGGGGGCCTATAGAACATTGCGGCCTGTCCTTCAAAATTCACCCGCCATCGTTGTTCGTTGAGCATTTGAGTTTGAAATCACCAGGCACCATGACACCACACAGTAGCCGTGCAACGAATGTTCACCGCATAGCAAGCAAAGTCGTACTAGTACGTTGGTGCGTGCGCCCCTCCGCCGTCCACCGAAAACCGCGTGGACGGCCGCTACTTAAGAGCAATTTTTTATAGTATAGCTAACTATTGACTATTAGCTCCTGTTGGAGACAATAACACAGTACTTCCTCCGTTTTATATTATAAGGCTTTCTAGCATTGGCCATATTTATATATATATGTTAATGAATCTAGACATATATGTGTGCCTAGATTCATTAACATCTATATGAATGTAGACAATGCTAGAAAGTTTTATAACCTGAAACGGAGGTATTAAGTATATAATAGGTTAACTGTAAGATTTACTCTGTTTATTTTTCTCCTCTCTATTTCTTTCACTATAAATTTCATGTAAATATTTTGAAGATTATGTAAAACAATCTATTGTATGAGAACCAAAACTTCTCATCTTTTTCTCTTTCTTTTACATAAGCTTATATTTTCTCCGTGGCTTTGTCTTATATTTTAAGAGATTTTAGGTGGACGTAACATTTCCTACACTCCGGTGGTGTTTGGATCTAGAGACTAAATTTTAGTCCCTGTCACATCAGATGTTTGGACACAAATTAGAAATATTAATCATAGACTAATGACAAAACATATTCCATAACCCTGGACTAATTCGCGAGATGTATCTGTTGAGCCTAATTAATCCATGATTAGCCTATGTGATGTTACGGTAAGCATGTACTAATTATGGATTAATTAGGCTTAAAATGTCTCGCGAATTAGCTCTTATTTATGCAATTATAGTTTTATTATAAGTTTACGTTTAATACTTCTAATTAGTCTCAAACATTGATGTTACAGGCCTAAAATTTAGGTGGTGTTTGGATTCAGGGATTAAACTGTAGTCCCTGTCACGTCGGATGTTTGGACACTAATTTGAAGTATTAAACATAGATTACTTATAAAACTAATTACATAAATGAGAGATAATTCATGAGATAAATTTTTTAAACCTAATTAATCCATAATTAGAGAATGTTTACGGTAGCATCAGATAAGCTAATCATGTATTAATTAGGCTCAATAGATTTGTCTTGTGAATTAGTTCGGGTTATGAAATACTAGTAGGTTTTATCATTAGTATATATATATATTTTGAGCGAATCATTAGTACATATTCAATACTTCTAATTAGTGTCAGGGAATTTTTTTTTTTAGCACCTCCCGTCTCCTCATTCCTCAATCGTCATCCTCCTCCCAACCCACACGGTCCAGTCCTCCTCCTCGCGTAGACGCGGCGGCCGAGGAACAAGTCCGTCACGCGAACCTTCCAGAACCTCACACGTCACGCAACCTCCTCCTCTTTATTACGACTACTACCACCCCCTCTCTCCTCTCCGTTCCACCGCCGGATTCAGATTCGGAGAGAGCTACTCCTCGTCGTTAGCCATGGCGTCCAAGCGGATCCTCAAGGAGCTCAAGGACCTGCAGAAGGATCCCCCCACCTCCTGCAGCGCCGGTGAGATGCATATCCCTCTCATCACCTTTTTTTGCTGCGTAATTAAGCTTCGATTTACTAGCCGTGCTGTGCTTCTGCTTCCTGCTCGATCGATCGATTCCATGCGCGACCCGTCGCTAGATCTGAGGATCAGGTAGGTTGGTTTGCTGTTGGTGTGGACGAGTGGATGATGATCTTGTTGATTTCTGTGCAAGTGGAGGGGGTGCCTGTGCGAGCCAACCCGGATTTTCTTTTTCAGCCTTTGATCTCGTCAAAACTCAGAAATTTCGATGATAACGTAGTAATACCGCTTTTTAGTTTCACTTTTAAGTAAACCTAAATGTACGGCACATCGTATAAGATCTGCAATCCTTAGCTTTGAAAACAAGCGAGAACTGTATTCTGTAGCCCAATGCAATATCAGATCAGTTAAATTTGCAGGGAGAATGAGCTGCGTAGTGGCTATTTATGCATCACAATTCAGAGAGCTACCGAAACTTTATTTAAGCACATGGAGATGGTCCAGATGGAGTGGCTTACTCTGTAATTTTTAAATGGTTGATTGTTCACGGATAAAGAGTTTTTATCCCCCTACTTTGGGATGGCTGGTCATAAGATCACTAGCTATGTTTAACTTTGAATAAGTCTACCAACTAAGAGCATTGGTATATGCATTAGGGCATTAGTGCTTCCAAGAACAGAACAATTACGCATACCATGCTTGCTCAATTTTAAGGACAATGTTCTATTGTATCAGTTCACTTACTTCCTATATACTCCGTATGTTGGAAGTTGGAATAAGCTAGGTGTTTCATGCTCTGCTGGAAGATGTAACAACCTGTCGTACTAGTATTCCTTTGATCTTCATTCTATACAAATGCTTCCTTAGTTGTTTACGTATACGACTGACATGTATGTATTCTTAACCTACCAGGCCCTGTGGCAGAAGATATGTTCCACTGGCAGGCAACACTGATGGGTCCATCAGATAGCCCTTATGCTGGAGGCGTGTTTTTGGTTACCATTCATTTTCCTCCTGATTATCCATTCAAACCGCCTAAGGTAAGGAAACATTACATCGTATTCAACCTACATATTTTAAGATAGCTTCCTTGTTGCAACTATGAATGCTGGATTGTTCAAGTGAATGGGAAAACTGGATACTGTGAAAATCTTACACAAGATCTTTTCCTGGAAGTTTGGACCTTTTAGGCGATAGTAGGTGTATCAATTTTCTGAAGTGGGATATGATAGGAAGTATAAACTGTGATTTATGAAAACCATTGGTAGGTTTTAGTGCATCAATATCAAATGCTGCGTCCATACCGTTGAACATGTTATTCTAAGCACATGATTGCCTTTTGAAGATGAGAGTTAATTGTGTTCATTTTAGTGGTGTAGGTGGCAATTCTAATTAATTTCACCTTTACTTCCCTGTTCCTGTTCTGGTATTATGAAATGTTGTTTGGTTGTCCTTAATGGAAGCAGTCATTTGTTTTTGTTGCTTCTGTATTGTGCGTCCATATGGTTGAATGTATTATTCTAAGCGTGTGATTGCCTGTAGATAGTTCTTGTGCAAGTTTTTTAACTTTAATGGTGTAGGCAGCAGTTGTTCCATTTAACTTCACTTTTCCTTGTTCTTGTTCTTGCTTAGCCCTTACAGAACCGGTCATTTGTTCTTCTTGCCTAAGCAGAATCAGTCCTTTGTTAATTTTGCTTTAGTAGAACAAGTTATACAATTATCGGTTTGTTTGTTCGTGAGTTTTATCTTCTCATGCCACAAGTGAGATGTCTTTAGTGCATGGTCGTGGCAGAGTGCAGCTTGTGATCTGGTGTCTTTTCTGGATAAATGTAGCATAAGGGTGTGAAAACATCCTTGACAATTTCTGAACCTAAAGGCAATTGTTTCCCCTGAAAAAACACCCTTGTTTAAAAGTGGCGCCAACTGCAATCCTTGTACAGAGTTATGCTTTGGTTATTCATTGGCAATTTGGTACCAAAGTTTGTCATATAGAAAAGGTCTCGGTTGTACAGGACCTAGATGTTTCTCTTAACTCAAAAACGTAACGGTTCATGATTGGGAATTTGTAGTTGGGACTCAGAGTTCCACTACCTTTTCTTGCTCTTTTCTGTCTTAAGTTTAATTATTTTTGTTCTACAGAACAATTACAATCAGTAGTAAAATTTTCAGGTGGCATTGAAGACAAAGGTGTTCCACCCAAACATTAATAGCAACGGAAGCATATGCCTTGATATCTTGAAGGAGCAGTGGAGTCCTGCATTGACTATTTCAAAGGTAAGTTTGTTCCTAATATGATGAACAATTGAAGTAAGAAAGGAGCTGCTCCCTCCGGTCATAAATATTTGGCATTTAACATAAGATTTTGGACAGATTTTTAAAATTTTGATCATCAATAGTTTCACAGGTCCTTTGCTTAAAACAAGGACAAAATGGTATATGGATTTGTCTAAAAAGTATCATCATAATATTGTAAATATGTTATATTACAAATTTGTTCTGATACAAAATTGATGGTCAAAGTTTTAAAAGTTTTGACCGAAACTTGTCCTAAACATTGACAATTTATGACCGAAGAGAGCATAAAGCTTGGTAGTCAATCCTCTGTTCTTGTTCAGCCGTGTTCGCAATCCCACGTGCACCATTCTGGGTTTGGGGCATATGATGGACACTGAAGTAGTTCAGTTCCTCTGATCTTGTTCAGCCGTGTTCACTATCCCACGTGCACCGTTCTGAGCTTTTGGGGCATATGCTGGACACTGAAGTAAACTTCAGTTCTAATATCTTCCATTTCATTTAGGTGCTACTCTCAATTTGCTCGCTGTTGACGGATCCAAATCCTGATGATCCATTGGTTCCAGAGATTGCTCACATGTACAAGACTGATCGGGCCAAGTACGAGTCCACCGCAAGGAGCTGGACCCAGAAATATGCTATGGGCTAGAATGGTTAACAATAAGAAATGTGAGATATGCCATTGTATTGCCTTGTATTCTCCTGTAACTCTTTCAACATTTAAGAAACAGCAAGAATCAAATTGAACTCTCGAGTTGTTGTATGGAATCCTACTATAGATGTTCAGCTATTGTAAATTATGTAGTGGGTGGTTCTATTGATTGTTCGATGAGCACTTGGAATGGTACTTTTATGTTCCAGAGTAACTGTGACAAAATAGTCTGTATTGATCTCCTGAAAGGCTGAAACCCATCTTGGACTGTTTAGTGTTTTATTAATTTCATTCTAGAATTAGAAATTAATAATTAGCACTATTTACTGTTTTATTAGTTTCATTCTAAAATTCGAAATTAATAATTAGCAAGTTTGTAACTAACGTGGACTCCTTTTTTTAATTGTAAGTAGCTATAATTCAAATGTACAGCTTCATTTTTTGCTTATTGGTTTATCAGTCGCAAATTAAAATTTAAAAATTTAAAACCTAATTTTAAAGTTAATTCCGCTATTTGCTTGCCAAAAAAAAATCTCTCAATTCTAATGTCCCTATTGATCAAGAAAACATTATTTCCATTAGTTGAGCGCAACAAACATAGGCAATTGTTAGATTTGAAATATGAATTTTGAATGGCGAAAGCAGTAACTCCTTCTCATGGCATCCTGGACCCATGTTACAAACAGAGTCCTGCTCTATCTTTAGTGGCAGGTGATCCTAAGGCCATGTATAGATGGGATTAAAACTTTTAAGTCCCTATCACATTGGATGTTTGGAAATTAATTATAAATATTAAACGTAGACTATTAATAAAACCCATCCATAATCTTGGACTAATTCGCGAGACGAATCTATTGAGCCTAATTAATCCATGATTAGCCTATGTGATGCTACAGTAAACATTCTCTAATTATGGATTAATTAGGCTTAAAAAAATTGTCTCGTGAATTAGCTTTCATTTATGTAATTAATTTTATAAGTAGTCTATATTTAATACTATAAATTAGTGTCTAAATATAGGGACTAAAGTTAAGTTCCTGGATCCAAACACCACCTAAAAGCTCTATCTTTAGTGGCAGGTGATACTAAAATTTCACCTTATTACTCAGTGGTAGTACAACTGAACCAAAAAAAAAATCAATAATTCTGTGCTTAATCAGGGGACAGGCAGAGAAGGATTTCAGGGTGGAGGCCGTGACGATCGGCTGTGTTCAGCACAAGAATCTGGTCAGCCTACTGGGTATTGCAGCGAGGGAGCTTTGTAGGTATGCATGGTGTAATTTTAATACGATTTTTGAAATAACAAGTTGTGCTCTCTGTACAACTTTACTCTGCTAGTGATGTGTAAATTGAGTTCTTGCAATTTTTGATAGGAAGCTGGTGAAATTGAGTTGACCAATTTGGACTGAAGAAGTGATCTCAGATAGGGGGGTTGCTGCCTGGAAGAGTAGGAAAACAATGCAGAGAGAGATGGTTCAACCCTTTGAGGCCAAACATCAAGGTTAGTCTCCTCTTCCTTGTAGGTTTCACACACATTGTATATCCAACTAAAAATACTTCTTTTGCCGGCATTTCAAAATTCTTGTCTTGTATACAGTTAAGATCACTTGATTTGTCTGATAGATCTGTTGATGGCATGTAGGCATAGATAGCTGCTTAGTCAACCCAATAAAATGAGGCTATAACAAGTTCTATCATTGCTATGCTGCATTTTTGCCAAGTCTGCAATCTATCAATCTTCATCCGCCGAGTCTCTGAACATAAATTACTACATCTATAGAGGGCTCAATTTATCTTTAGCTAGACAATCTATTAGAAGATGATGAGGGATTTGGGACTCTTGTCATCTGTTAATGTGTTATGCAATCTCCTTCCACCAGCTAAATGAAGCATGCGAGCTTCTTTAGATTGATTGTTTCAGACTTTCATTATCTTAGATTGGACTCGTGCAATGTCTAATGCAATGTTTTTTTTTGTCACTGATTTTTGAAGGGAACGACTCCTTGCAGCCTCTGTGCTGCATCGGCCACCATCACCGGCGAGCCTGTGGCCCTTCTCTTTGTGCCATCGGTGCCACGAGAACATGAAGAGGCCATTCGCAGTCACCGCAAGAAGAATTAGTGTCACAACAACAAGAAGCATGAGCGCCTTCATCAATGGGGGACAGTGAGATCCATTGCAATGGCCATGGCCATGAGAGGATCCTGATGTCATCTGCCACGATATGTCAGCACTGAATGGCTGGGGGCCTGTCGGGGTTGATGAGGTCGGCCGGACTGCACAGCCTGAGAGCAGGCAGAACATATTCAGATGAGTGTTGTTTGCACCTTGCAATCCACCCTGCAGTTTCGCTAATTCTTGGGGAAAATGATGTTTTGATTTCTGTAGCAACAGCTTTAATTTGTTGAACGAATGGATCCCATGTATTTTTTTTCTGGGCTTTGAACAACAAAAGCACAAAAAGGGACAGAAGCCCATGTTCGACCCAACAAACCTTTTGGCAGGGGTGCTTGATGCACGCACAGCACGCGGGGAGGAGGTGGGAGATGATGACACGTGTCATATCCTATGGTCAAAAGTCCAGCTGATATCTCAAAAAATTTCAGCAGGATGGTACTAGACAGTCCCTAAGTGGTACTTAATTCGTTTCACTTCAGTAAAGCCGCGTATAATATGCAGAGTCCAGAGTATAATCTGCATCAGTAGACCTACTGATATATGATGGCTCAGTAGCATCCTGTAGAGTTTATAATGTGGCAAATGTCTGACGACATAATATAACTCCTCAAAATAACGTTAAATTAATTTGGGACCTGCTTTTGCATTTGCTTCCTCAAATCAAATTGTTTCCTCGAGTTCAACATAGAGATTCTGCAGAACAGTTATTACAGTCCAATGCATTTTTTTTCCAGGTGGTTTCCAAGACAAATTGGTGTTCCATCGGACGAGTAATGCAGCCACCATCTGTCGTTATATCTTGACAGAGCCGAGAAGGAAAATCCTCCAGAGATTGGCCACCATTTGCATGGTCAGTTGATTCTCCATTACCCTACCCTTCTTGTTCCTATAGAAGCTCAGAAGCGGGCAAGCGGCTTGTTTTGCGACGCACCACTGACACTGTCTCTGTTCATCACTGCAGCAACCGGATGGCGAGCAAGGCGACAGAGATGGGAATTTTTTTCGTTTTTAGATTTTTTTTAATATTTACAGAAATAATCTATCGGCGAGAAAAATTGCAAAAATAGACCCTGCCGCCCCAATGGTGGGCGGCAAGCTGACGTGGCAAACGGGGGAGGAACGGACGGTGACGGAGGGTGGTTTTTTTTGCATGAAAACCCTTGCCGCCCTTTGGTGGGGCGGCAAGGGGTCCGAATGCAAAAGAGCCGCAGGGGCCGGCCATTTTGCAGGCGGCCCCTTGCCGCCCTCTGGCCGGGCGGCAGGCCTTGCTGCCTATAAAAGGTCTGCCGCCCAGCCCCCAGCCCTCATTCCTCACCCCTCTCAAATCCAGTGAAAAAAAAAGAAGAGAGGGGAGGAGAAGAGAAGAAGGGGCGAAGCCCTGCCGGATTTAGACGCCGATTTCAGGTAATATTCATAGATCCTATATGTGACTATTGAGTTAAATAGTGTGTATTTTTAAAAAATTTGTTTGAATAAATGCATTATATTTTTAGGGTTTCAGTTGTACTAATCTAGAAGTGCGTATTGTAGATATCGGTAACTACGTAGATCTGCTAGTTTGGAATCAATACTTTACCGTTGCATTGGCTTACACAAGAAGATATTACGTTGTAGATGTTTATTGCATGAAAGAGTAATATGATCTAGTTAATTCGTTGACAGATATGTCGAACAAACAAATATTCCAAGTTTACCATGGACCAGGAAACGTCCATTACGGGCCAACTGGGGTAGATCTGTCAGATTTTATTGTATCAGAAAGGGGAATTGATAGACCGGCTGAGAGGAGTGTACCTTCTATAAAAGGATGGTTAATGAGGGGCTTGAGAGTTGATCCACAGACAAGTGACATAACAATCAATGTTATAGTAAGTCGGGCAACTGAGGGTTTTTATTAGGAACTAATGCCAGTTCAAAACTCTCAAGTGTGGAGATGGTATGTGGAAAATGCAATGCAACGCGGGTGGCCTCTAGCTTTGGTTCCGTTTGTGCACCCGAAGGATCCAGGTATGCAGATGAACATGGATGATGGCAAGGGACCAAGTGCTGAAGTAAATGAGACTTCTGTGGAGGAGGTCAACGCAGGAGAGGACAGGGGCGTAGTAGCTCCAGTGGGCATTCAACCAGGTGGAGTGGCCGACAAGGGGGAGACTGTCGCAGCCATTGTGGATGAAATGGAGAGGGAGGATTCTGACAACGAGCGTGTAGAGGAAGGTGATTCGTCAGATGAGGAGACGGATATTAATCCAGCAGAATGGGCTAGTTAGGATTTTTCTGGGCTGATCGTCTCTGAAGAGGATAGTGTGAGATGGGAGTACAAAGAAAATGAGGTTATTCAGGGAGCGATTTATAGTAGAGCAGAAGATATGAAGGAGGCGGCAAAACATTTTGCAGTGTCACTTCATAGAGAGTTTTGGGTTGCCAAGTCCAACCGGTCGCAATATGAAGTTCGGTGTGTTAAGGAAAAAGATGGTTGTCCATGGAGAGTGCACGCGTATAAGGGGAAATGGAAGGATTATTGGACAGTGTCAGTCGTTACCAAGCATACATGTTTTCTACCTGGTGTTCAGAAATACCACAGGAACATTACATGTGCATTTGTTGCATCTGAGATGTATGCGCATGTCATCGATAATCTCACATATGAACCAAGGTCAATAATCCGACACATCGAGGAGACATACAAGTATACTATTAGCTATGCCAAGGCCTGGAGGGCCAAACAGAAAATAATAGAGATAAGATTTAGAACTTACGAAGCCTCGTATGACAATTTGCCACGCCTGCTTGGTGTTATCGAGGAAAGAAACCCTGGGAGCTCTTACGAAGTGAAGAAATTCCCATCAATTGAACATCCTGGCAAGAGTGTGCTGCAAAGGGCGTTCTTAGCTCTACATGCATGCAAGATGGCATTCGTGAACTGTCGTCCTGTTCTCTGCATTGATGGGACATTCTTGACAGGAAAGTATCGGGGCCAGATACTGACAGCAATAGGGGTAGATGGGAACAATCAGGTATTGCCCTTGGCATTTGCTTTTGTTGAGAGTGAGAATACCGACAGCTGGTACTGGTTCCTAAAATTGGTTAAAACAAAAGTTGTTGGTATGAGGCCAAATGTGTGCCTGATACATGATAGGCACGCTGGCATTCTGCGAGCGATAGAAGAGTTGCAGTTTGGGAGCATGGAACAAGGATACCCTGGTGTTTGGGACGATGTACAGAGTAGGTGGTGCATGCGTCATATGGGAGCTAATTTCTTCAAGCAATTCAAGAACAAGGAGCTCATGAACATGTTCAAGAGGCTGTGCAATCAGAACCAGGAGAAAAAATTCAATGAGCTTTGGAAGAGATTAGATGAGTTGACAGCCAAATGCAGTGATCAGCGTGCAGCGGCTCCATCGACCGCCGTTGCTGACCCTCCTCAAGCTCTTGGACCTCTCCCAACGGTAGTCCAACTTTGGTTAGAAGAACTGGATTGGAGATTAGGAAATTTTCTCAGTGGATTCTGCATGAACCAAAAGAGAAATGGGCCAAGGCGTATGACACAGGTGGTGCTAGATATGGAATAATGACAACAAATTTGGCAGAAGTTTACAACTGGGTGATGCGCGGTGTCCGTGGACTGCCACTAGTTGGCATAGTGGAGTTCATTTTACATGGGACATGCAGGTATTTTAGGGATCGGTTCCAGGCAGTTCTTCCCTCTATGCCGAACAACAGCATTTTTTTGGAACTTTCATACAGAAAAAGCTAGAGGAGTTGCGTAAAAAGGCCATGAAACATCGAGCTCTAGTGCAAGGTACCCAACAACACAGGTTTGAGATACTCTGTCAAGATAAGGCAGGCAGGGGTATCTACCACAAGAGAGTGAAGCAGGAGTGTGTTCTGAAAGCCGACGACACATGTCATTGCTCTTGTTCAAAGCCGAAGCTGCTCCACAGGCCATGCACCCATGTCATTGCTGCCGCAGCGGAGTGTAGCATACCAGATGTAGTATATGTGTCACAGTACTTCAGTAAGCAAGCAATATATTATACATAGAACGGCGAGATTTATGGGTTCGGCATAGCTAGGGAGTTCACAGAGACTAACGATGAAGTACTCAATATTCCTGACCCATCGAAGCTCCGAGGCAAGGCTGGAAGGAGGAGGACTCGTCGCATCCGCAACGATATGGACGAGTCGGAGGCTGGCAGGGTGAAGCGTTGCAGCAAATGCGATGAACGTGGGCACACCTACAAGCATTGTCCTAAAGACAAGGAGAAACCAAGTGCGGCGGAGGCAGGACTATCAGGATCAGCAGCAGATGGAGCTCGCCCTACGGGTGAAGGCACTACCTCCACTCGACCACGTCCTAGGCGTCGTCGTGCCACGTCTGGCTACGTGGTGTAGTTCTTATGTTCTATGTTGGCATGTGGGTTTGCTTGTAATATGTTTCGAACTTATCGATGTGTTTATGTTTCGTCGTGTAATGTCAGACTTCGGCATATCATGTCTTTAGGTCTCGTGATGTAACGTCAGACTAAGGCCCCTAGTGTCTTTAGATATGCTGATGTATGTCGGACTTCGACACGTAATGTTATGTTATGTTATATTATCGAACTCTACATAAATGTTAAATTGCACGTCATCGTTATGTACCATTAGTAACGTTTGCTTTATTTAAATAGCCTGTAATCTTGTTGTACATAATTATTCTCATGATTTTATTACTATTTCATAATTTTGTGAGTCATATTTTGTTTTACATTACTACGTTTTGAATTGTTATAACACGAAACACTATATTTTTCAGAGATGGCACGTCAGGATACACCTCAGCTGTTGGACCCGGTGATAGATCACCGACACCGGTCTCACCTTACTGCGGTGCAGGGGGCTCAGCTTGGGACGTTCCGGGCACGGACGTGCGGTGAGCTACTCACGGTTGACGACTCCTTTGTCGAGAGGTACGAACAGTGTATTACTATAAATTAGTTGCGCTGTAATATTTTTTATAATGACATATTAATTTCTTATTGTAGGCTGCGTGAGGCCAGCCTCCTACCGATGTGTCGGCTGGTGGAGGCTGCCGCCGGCCACGCGGACCCGGCCAGACGATGGACTGTGGACAGGTCCCTCCTAGCAGCTTTGGTCGACCGATGGAGACCAGAGACGCACACTTTTCACTTGCCGTGCGGTGAGGTAGCCCCTACCCTACAGGACGTATCGTACTTGTTGGGGCTACCGCTCGCGGGAGACGCTGTTGGGCCAGTGACCACGGCTGTGGATTGGCAGGACGATCTGACGGCACGTTTCGCACTAGTACAGCGCGCACCGCACCTCCCGCTCGAGCCGTTGGCACACCACCGCAACACCGGACCTACGAAGAGGTGGCTGCTTCAGTTCACCGTGAGTGTTTTTGTACCGAAATGACAAGCGTACTACATATTTATTCCACATGTTAAGGTTCCTAACATTTTAACGAACGCTTGCAGGTCGATCAGCTACAGGCGGAGGCTGACGAGTACTCCTACAGCCGCTGTTTGAAGGCGTACTTGCTCTGGCTTTTCGGCTGGGTGATGTTCTGTGGCGGTCACGGGCACGCGGTCGACAAGGGACTCGTGCACTACGCCAGGAGCATCGCCGACGCCGCGGTAGGCGAGGTGCCTCAGTGGAGCTGGGGTTCCGCGTTGTTGGCGGCTCTGTACCGTGGACTTTGTGAGGCTTGCACGACGACGGATCCCAGCGCGACCTTTGGTGGGTGCCCTCTCTTTCTTTCTATCTGGGCAGCTGAGAGGATTGCGATCGGCCGCCCGGAGGTGGACCAGCACGCGTACGAGGAGTCACTGTACAAGGAGCGACCAGAGGTCGACTACCCTACGATGGGTACTCTGTGGTGCCGTCGTCAGGTACGTTGCATCGATCTTCTCGTATTGTTAAGTTAATTGCTCAGTTCATTATATATCAAATCGATCGTCCCGTATTGCAGCGCCGATGGGCTCACGTCCAGGTTAGGCGGTCGTATCCTGAGTTTGTTATGGAGTTCGACCGCCTTCTGCCGACTGACGTCGTGTGGGAGCCCTACAGTGCCGCGGCTACCCAGGCTCGTGCGCCGTTGGGTCTGTCCACACTCTGCACCAGGGACCAGGCGTACTGGATGACTACGGTTCCGATGGTCTTCGACATCTGCGTTGAGCCTCACGCCCCTTTCCGCGTGATGCGGCAGTTCGGCTTCCGTCAGCCCTTTCCAGTACCTTTTCCGACGACCGTCCCAGCTGCTGTTCAGCGGTAAGATCTTTCACTACGCTTTCCGTTATTGCATTAAAATCTACCTGTTCACAA